CATAAAGCTATGGAGTAAATTCCAAAAAAAAAAACCCAGCATTTATGGGTGCAGTGGTGCAACACAATCCATGTATGGAAGCCTTAGTCCTAGATTCGACTGTCTTGGGCTCAAGTCCCAGCAAAGATGACCATTGCTGCATGTTTTCCTCCTTTTTCATAACCCGCTTTCCTATCTAACAACTGTTAGATAAAGGTCACTAGCTCAAACAGCACTTTTCGTTTTTCTTTTTAAAAACAAGCAGCATTTACGCCATAATTTTTTTTTTTTATGAAGACTCACTAGTGGTTAAAGAAAAGTGACTAATAGACTTAGTACTTATATGGTAATGTGTTTCATTGTTGCAGCACATTCAAAGTTAAGGATGACTCTCTAAGATGCCAACAGGTTAAATGCACACTAATTCTGAGCTGACGCACAGCACACTTTACTATACATGTCCATTACTCATACTGTACATTTTTACTTTTTTTTCTCTCTTCTGGCTTGATCTATGGTTGATAAATAACTACATGTTTTACATTTGAGAATTAGAATAATTTTACAATCATAACACAAGATTTAAGTTAACTCTAGAATTCTGCTTCAGAGCATCATGACTAAACTTCTCCCAGATCAGGACAGAAAAACAATTTAATGCAGACCCAATATCAGTGGTGGAGAAAGTACTCAAAAAATGTACTTAAGTAAAAGTAAAACTATCACATTAACATTTGTACTTAAGTAAAAGTAAAAAAGTACTGGCTTTTAAAAGTACTTAAGTATTAAAAGTAAAAGTACTTGCTGAATAATACCTAATCACTAATATCATTAAGTGAACCTGTTGTATTTAATTTTAATACATTAGAAATGTGCCATTTTAATGAACAATACCACAGATAAAGCATGTTTTTATCTTTACTCTCTGTAACATAGTTTAGACTTAGATATGTGATTCTATGCATCATAATTTCAGGGATGGAAACATCTTGTCTCCTGTCCTAGCATAGCATGAACTTCATTTTTTTTGCTACTAGTGGCTTTTATTTTGAAAGAAATCCAACAGAAAGGGGATGGAAAGAAGGTGGGTGGGGGAGGACATGCAACCAAGGAGCCAGTAGCAGTGTTGTAGTCAAGACCACCTGCCCAAGACCAAGTCAAGACCAGTACCCCGTGCTACGTGACACAAAAAATTTAGTTTTACCTATCAAAATTGCTTCTCAAAAGATTGCTTCTGAAAAATTCAGATTCCCATTAAACACCTAGATATTAAATACTTAGAGCTGAAATAAATTTAATGAGTAAAGATCCGCCCAGAAGAATCGGGTCGTTCCTGAATGTCATATCAATGCAGACTTTGGTCACAGCGTTGTCCCATATTTGCGACACCTCAGTCAACACCTCCACACAATAATTCAGCGCATGAGTGACAACTTTTTTTCATCGCAGATGCAGCATATGTGTCTCAGTACAGCTAGCTTTGTTAGCATCATGTCCACAGATCTTACCTTTCTTTAAGCTTTCCTTCCAAGTGACGCGAAAAGTTGGACGAAGTCCCACCATCTGTGAAAGCGAAGAGCTGCTTATTTTACATGTCACCATATCTTATTATTTATGCAGCGCTATTTTATAACTGACGATCAGACAAACATCTTCTCCCGCTAAGAGGAAACCACTGCGCATGTCTGGAGCTCCGCGTTCGAGTAAAGGGGGAGGCGATGGGTGACAACAGACACTTATGTTACGTTATTACTTGGATTTTACAGCGCCACCTTAAGTCCCTGAACTTCACATTTTAATGGACAAAAAGCGCAACGCGACTTGGATGTAACGAGTAACGGGACAGTTTTGTAGAAATGTAGTGAAGTAGAAAGTACAGATAAATGTAGTGGAGTAAAAGTAGAAAGTACCCATTAATTAAATCTACTTAAGTACAGATACACGAAAATTGTACTTAAGTACTTCCCACCACTGCCCAATATAATTACAGTGAAAAATTTAGCAAAGTATGCCACAAATTTAAAACATTATTCATGTTCTTCTGTTTCATGTTTGAAAATGTTGCCTTGCAGAATATGGACGTTTTGAAGCCAAAATCAATGACCTTCGAGAACACATGATGAACCACAGTTTGAGCTCTGGGTCAGGGTATCTGCAAACAAATCAGAAGAAATCACTCTATGTCAGGTTAGTCCCATTTCACATAACCCTAAGAAACAGTCTTTTAAACTAATTCTGGGTGTCCTTGCAGCAGAAAATGTTGGGGATTCCCTGGGTACCATGTTTCATGATTTTTGCTGATTGTGGTGAAGATGGATGTGGCTTGACAAAGGTTATGGTGAAAATGATGTTTTTAATGAAGAATACAGAAATCCAGGCAGCACAGGTGAGCAGTGAGACAAGGACATTGAGACACTGGTAGTTACTCAAAAAATGACAAAGGCAGGACATTAGACAAGGATCCAACAGGGAGCAGGGGACATGAGGTACAGCTGGGGGCAATCAAGAGGAAGACACAACACAGGAACTAATTAACAGAAAATAGCGGCGACGACCCATCTTGGTGGGTCCAGAGAGCAGCTGGGAGGCCACGCGGACCCACAAAAAGGCTGCAGAGGGCAGTTGGGAGGCTGGCTGGAATCACAAGGAAGACCAGGAGGACTGACAGACTGCTCCGGTAAGATTGCTGCTCTTTCGGGCTTGGGGAGGCTAGCTGGTAGCTCGGGCTCACTGAGCTCAACTGCGGGCTGAGCACTGGGAAGCTCGGGTTGAGCAATTGGCCCGCTTACTGGGGCGAGTGACCTGCTTACTGGGACTGATGGTCCGCTTACTGGGGCTGAGGGTGAGGCTGTTCCTTGAGATTCCTTGGGTTACTGAAGTTGTGGAGGAGGTGCGGAAGATTGGGGTATCCTTGTTGTGGTTATCCTTGTTGTGGTTGCTTCTCTATCAAGTCAGAGAAGTCCATGGTTTTAATGAAGAATACAGAAATCCAGGCAGCACAGGTGAGCAATGGGACAAGGAAACACAGACACTAGTACTCGACAAATGACAACAAAGGTAAGCTGTTAGACAAGGATCCAACAGGGAGCAAGGGACACAGGCGAGGCTAAATACACAGGGAAGGTAATGGGGGAAACAAGGGACAGCTGGGGGCAATCAAGGGGAGGACACGACAACACAGGAACTAATTAACACAGAGAAAACCAAATCCTGACACTATGTTTAATCCCAATGTCTAAAAACATGCCTGTTAGGTTAACTGACTACTTTAAATCGGTTCTTTCCTGTCTCTGTGTTGCGCTGTGATGGATTGACAACCTGCCTTTAATGTACCATGCCTCAACAGATAAATAGAGAAAATGTTTTGATGGAAGATGGGGCTGAATCCTGAAAAACATTACTGGGTTTGAGACTTGGCATAGGTTCTTTCTGCATTGAGTCAGCACTTTTTTCCATCCAGGCTTGCATGGGTTCTCTTTGGGTACTTTTCACTAAATTGCCCATATGTATGAATGTGTGTGCATGGTTGTTGTTGTTTATTTCGTGTATCTATATGTTGTCCACCAATGGTAAGGTAATTTTATTTATATAGCACATTTTCAGCAACAAGGCAGTTCAAAGTGCCTGGCAACCATTCCCCAGTTCTTACCCAATAACTGAAGGAGATAAGCACCCACCCGTGGGCCCCCTGACAAATAATTTGATTGGGCCCCCGCGCAGCTGCCGTTACATTTTTTTGAGTCTATTTGACCCATAAAAAGCATCACAATTTTAAAGGCTTGCATCTGTCTTTCTTTCTTTGGTT